AAAGCCTTTACACACAAAGCTTTGCAATTTTTAGGCTCTCTGGGTCACACCTCCCCAGCTGCAGTCACCTGGTCCTTGACCAGCCAAGGCAGGCTGAGGCTCCAGCCACCCCTCTCCTGGCCAAAAGCATCTCTTTGCCGGTCATGCACCTTGTCTGCAAAGACAGAAAGAACCACTGAGCATCCCCATCTGCTAAATGAGTGATTAATGATGCCATTAGTGCTGGAAAGCAGCATTTTAGAAAATCCTTTCTAACTCCCTTGGCTTGACTGAGAGCTGATCTGCAGCCCTCTGGCTCAGCAAGGCTGTGCTGAGCGACATACACCTCTGCACCAGCCGCAGTGTGGGTGCAGCATCCCCGAATAGCAGATGCATTTGCCCCAGCAGCCGGCTGCCCAGGTTTCCCTGGGAATGGCATGCCTCCTCCCCAGTGCCCAGTGGCACCCAGCCAGCTGTGCCCTGTTGCTCTGCTTGCTGCAGGCTGGTCGGGCACAGGTTTTGCAATGCAGCTGCAACATGTGATTTTATTTGCAAGAGTTTCCAAGCCCTGCAGACCCCATATACAGAATTGGGCTGCATTTAGGCAGTTGCATTACACTGGGCAGTTGCACTATCCACTGAAATATGAGTTTTTCAACCATTCATCATTTCCTGGAGGCTGCCCATTGCTCCTCTCTGCAGAGTCTGGAGACTGGGATGCAGGAGGCTCCAGTGCTGAGACCCCCACTCCTCCGCCTGCCCAGATCTTTGCCAAGGGAATTTCTGCAGCTTTCCAGCCACAGGGGCAGTGCTCAAGCATCGTTGATGGTGTTGCTCTGCGCTGAGCAGATGTTTACTCTCTGGTCTCTCACTATGTCTCCACCAGATCTTCATCCCAACATGTCCTGTCCTCCCCTCCTTTTCTCTTCTCACCACTCAGGTGCTCCCTTTCCAACCAACAGCCCTGATACACCCTGTGCAGTCCACGGGCTTGTGTCAGGCACTGAACCTCTTCCCAATGCAATTATCAGCAGCTGCTTCCCTACAGCAGAGCCTTCCAGCTGACCATGGAGGAAAGCGGAGAGATGAGGAGTGAGCCCTCCTTTTGCAGGAAGCTGGGCAGAGAGCGTGGCTCTGCTGTTCCCTGGAAATCTCCCCTCTTCCAGCCAGAAAGCCTGTCCCTGCACAACTTGATGTTTATCTGGAAATCCTGGTTGTTCCCATTGCATGAAGTGGACCATCTCTACAGCAAGCCTGGCACATTGCATTTGGTGTACCGCATACACCACTACACACAGAGCAAACCCCATGTGCTCAAGAAAGCTACTGGCCATGTGTGATCTCTGAATGCTGTTCATGCACGATAGGTCCCAGGGTCTCAGAAGGATGGGACAGTTTGTGTGCTCATTCCTCTTTGGGTAACATCCCAACTCTATCCTGTCACTTGCACTCAGGCTACAGAAACACTTGTCCTGCTCTCTGCTTCACAGCCACGGAGATGAGACCAGGGCTCAGTCCACCAGCACCCTGTAACACCTTCAAATGCACCTTGGACAAGTCTTCCTGCAGATGCCTGCTCCACCTACATCGTGTCCCACTAGAGTAACGGCAAATGCTCAATTTTCTTGCCACCTTGGGTGAAAACAGCAGCAGAGGCCTGCCCTCGGGAGCCGTTTTGTCCCAGTAAATTGTCAGCCCCGCTCCCCAGCAATGCAGCTCTGCTCCCTCCCCGTGTAGGACACTTGGAACTTGCAGGTCCTTCCCTCAGCACAAGGGGAACAGAGCAGTACAAGTCCTACTGCATTCCTCAGCTGTGTAGTACTTCAGATAAAACGCAGTTAAATGACAACCATAACTCTATGGGAAGATAAGATAAGATAAGTGAAAGAGTTTACAACGTACCCAAGGAACTGTGTGATCTGAGTGAGTCAAAAACAAGACCTGGTGTCTTCAAGGCAGCACACAGACACCTGCAAGGCTCCTGATCCCACACTCACTCCAGAGCGAGCGAGAGGATGGTTTACATTGCACTGCTCCCCACTGAGCTATTTACTCAGTTGGGAATTTGTCCTGTTGCCCCACTCCGCTCCTCACTTGGGAAGCACCAGCTAAAATTCAGCTCTGGCCTGCAAAGGACCTTTGCTCAGGAGCTGAGGGAGCACTGGGGGCTGTTTTCTGCCTGCAGCTCATTGACCTCCCCAGTTAGCCTGCTGGGAGGCTGGCTGGGTACAGCAGCACCAGAGTTCATCCTCCAGTATCTTTTAGTGGTTCTGCTGAGACCATCTTGGTATCAGAAAGATGGAAAGAGTAGAAAGAGCACCTTGTGCTTGCAGATTCCACTATCATCCCAGAAAATCCCTCTGGGTATCAGAGTGAGAAGGGGATCCTTTGGTCTGGCCCGTTGCTTACATGAGCCACGGGACCTTCTCGCAGCACCTCTCTTTTGAGCTAGACTCAGCCTGCTAGAAAAAAAGCTATTCGCAACTTAAAATGTCCAGTGATGGGAAGTCCGCTGCCGTACTTGGTAGCACGTTTCGGTAGCTGAATGCATACATGGTTGAAGTGTGAGCCCAGCTTCCAGACCAATGCCAGTTTCTAGCCCTGGCTTTAGCTGAGGAGCTCCCTGCTACAGCCACCTGCAGCCAGGTATGTTCTCACAGACTGCAGCCAGCTCCCTCCTCACCTTCCCCATGACTGGCAGAGCTCCTTGAATTTTTTCATCTACTATACTGCATGCTTTCCAGTCAATGTACCTATTGCAGCCCTAATTTTCCAACATCCTTCTTGCACTGGGGCACTAAAGCAGAGCACACGCTTTTAGTAACACCCCAAACACAAAGTCACCAGAAGCTGCCTACGTGAACACTTGGTGTTCAGCCATTAGGCTACGTCTTGACACTGGAACAGGACCCTCCCTGTGCAACCAGTATTTCCCAGGATAGCCTCCCCTTTTTGCTTTGCTCCAGCTTCAAGGCAATCCCAGTCACTGCCCACGCTCTGCCCCAGGTTCCCCAGCTTTGCTGTCGCTGCTCACCTGTGCAGGAGGGAGTGGGTTGCCCATCACCTCCCAGAAGCAGCCCTGCAGCCATTGTGCTTGCCTTCCAGTCCAGTGCATCTCTACTGACTCCTCATCCCCGCCTCTCACTGGAGGAGGCCATTCACCTCCAGGTCCTGAGGGCCCTCCAGCACTTCTCTGAGCTGCAGCAGAGCTTGCAGAGTCAGCCACACCTCATCATGTAAAGATTTAATCCAACAGAGTCTGGTGCATCCCTTTGTAGAATGGTCTAATACGTAAATTCCCATCACAATGAAAAAAACAGTTTATTCCTGGATGAACTTACCTAATGAGAAGAATTTATAGCCTATGAAGCCCCTTAAGTTTAGCACAAAGTAGCTTCTAGTACATGGATTATTCTAGAATATTATCACAAGCAATAGTTCAATTTAAAGCAAATAGCTGCCAGATTCCTGCTAATCACTGCCTCACTGGAATAAAAGCCATTTCGAACTATGTTCTCTTTCACACAAGGACAGAGCCTGCTGAGATGCTGGCCATAAGACTAACGGAACGTGCTGCAGAAAAGGCACATCTACCCCAGAAAAGAAACCCCAGCCTGTAAAGCACGGTGACTGGGACAGACACATTTTAGACTTCAGAAAACTCTTAAATCAGGGTAGTGAAACTACACAGCTGAAGTGTGTTGCCATTAGCAAAACATTTGGAAAATTGCATCCTTGGTGAAAGAGCAAATTGAAAGAGATGCGCTCGGCTAGAAGAGCAAGGCACTGCAGAAGTGACGTAGCACACCATCTGCCCCATCAGCTCCACCCATGTGCTACTCATGCTGCTTTGTAAAACTACTAAGGTTATAAATTTATAAAAAATTGTCAGGGTTGTCTAACGCAAGCTGAGCAGAGCCTGTTGAGAAATTCTGCTACAGAACATCACGTCTTTCTAAGATGAGTCCCAGGGCAGACCACGCAGGGAATAGCAGACCTTCTGGTAAAAAACAGTTGTCACTTGTCTGTGATGTCATTTTTTAAGATGAAAAATAAAAATTATTTTACTAAGTTAAATTATCATCTCCAGAAGTTCTAAAGAACAAGACAACGGGTTCGGTTTGGGTTATAAGGTCTCTCGAGTTTTACCTGCAAAAATTGTAGGTACTTACTGTCCATTCTCCAGGTCCTTCACATGGCACACGGATGCTTCCACCACATCCTTTGGGTTGTGGTAGGGATTGCTGGCAATGGGGTGCTCCTCAAGATGATAGTGCCGGGAAGTTCCATTGACTTTGTAGATCAGGGGGCTGGCTTTCCCGTTGGGCGACATCTCCTCCTTGCTTCTTTCCTTCTCAGGAATCACAACTTCAATTTTCACTTCAACTGCAGGAACAGAAAGAAATCTTCATTAAAATGAAGGCAGAGGTTTTGCTGCCATTCTGCCTCTCCCTCCTGGACTTTGAAAGGGGCTGACAGACATCAGAACACACATTTTTTGTTGGCTTGCTTGGGAAGGTAAAACATTTAATATCAAACTCGGCTTGATTACCCAAGCCCATTATTCCACTGTTCTTTCTCCATCGGGTACCTTTGCATGCATAAAGTACATATTCTTGCAAGCAGACATTAGTCATCGGTGCAAAACAACCCCTCAGTCACAGTTCCTGTCCTGTTTAGTGGAAAACAGCTTCAGGCGGCTAAATGTGAGGCATGCCAAGGCCTCCAGGGCTCAGACAGACTTCAGAAAACCACTTAATTGTTTGTAGATAACATTAACTGAAAGAGAAAGCCAACACTGCATGGTGTATAAGGCTGCTTCATTAGATGGAGACCAATTAATAAGGAATTAGAAATATCCAAAATTATTTCTGCATGAGGTTTTCAGCGTAGAGTGAATCTTCAGCATTAAGTGAGAAAAGCGAGGGTTGTCCATTTTCCTTAGGTGTACACCATTGAACGGGTTTGACAATAAAAGTATCCCTGGCCTGGGGACCAGGGGACCCAGGAACGTGCGGAAGCTACTTGTGCCAGCACAGCACATCCCCCTGGCCATCAGAGGGGACACCAGAGCCAGCAGGTCCCCTCGGCCCCACTGCCACCCTGGGTGCTGTCATGGGGCAGTGATGGAGCAAGGCAGCCCCTGGCGCTGCCCCTCCATCCCCCTCCACCTTCACGCTGCCTCCACTGGGATGGTCCTCCCCTCCCCATGCAGGGACGGAGGGGGAGCACAGGGGCTCATCCCAGCTCCCCGAAGGGCAGCACTCACCCAGCCTCGCCATGCACCCACCCAGCCGCAGCCCTACCCACCGCCCGGTGCCTGGGGGGAGCAGGCTGGACACAGGAGCATCAGAGGAAGCTGGTGATGAGTTCTCACATCATAAAGTGAAAAACATCACTTTAGCTCCTAGGGACTTCATAAAACTAAAGCCATTAATATTTATAATAAACCCCGGGGGAGTTCTATAGCAAGCCAGGGGGTAAGTGCCAGAGACTGAAGAACTGTTTCAAGCAAATGGGAGATTGCTGAGCTTTCCCCGTCTTCTAAATGTCATGAATAGGAAAAGCTGTGCAGAAGATAAAGATTAAAGTTCATGACCTAAACAGGTTAAGGAAAGGCAAAGAGATGGGAACAATGTGCCCCAGAAAAGCAGGACAAGCCCTGCAGCAAGAGAAGGGTGCTGGGTCTTCCCAGCTTCATCTGTTGCCCTACGCTGTTTATTGCAAGTCCATTGAGAGGACGATGGAAGAAAAGGTCAGGGGGAAGGTCATTCATTTAGGAAGGGAGAAAAGCAAGAGGCCACGGCCATCCAGGCACTGGAGGCAGGTGGTTGTTTCAAGAGTCCTGTGAGTTTCTGCTTTTTTTGCCAAAGTGCCAAATTCTTACACTCACCAGGGGCAGGATTCACCGGGGGCTCTGACAGACAGATCCAGTAAAGCAATTTTCTGTGTACCCATGCTGAACCAATAGAAAATGTGAACTTCTGTTGCATTATAGCAGCTGCCAGCTGCAGGAATTACAGCAAACTAATAGGCTCAGCATCATGCATTAAAAAAAAATGTTGCTATGAGTAACTTTGTTCCTGGAGCTCTACAGAAGGAGCCCAGCTCCCTGCAGGTACCCAGCAAAGAGGCCACTTTCCATAAGCACTGTTTTCCTATGGCGTTTGGAAAAGCAGACACGGATTTTCCAGAGAGAGTTAGGAAATATAACGAACATCCATTTATGCCAGTCCCTGTGAAATACTTTCTGTCAAAGAATCAGGAGGATCATTTCACACGATTACGCAGTTGATCAGACATTTATCTGGAGCGAACATGGCTGTGCATCCCTGTGGCCAGACGCCAGAGCCAGCGAGCATGCTGCCGCTGCTGCCAACCGCGACGCAGGGTGAGACCAGGCCGGCACTGGCGAAGCCGGCAGCTCTGAGCCCTAACAGGTGACGTTGGTGCCAGTGAATTCACCCTGCAGGGAACAACCCCCATCTCTCACTTGGCCTGATGCCCCAGAGTCAGAAAAACATATGCAAAAAGCAGCAGGTCTCTGGCACCAGTGACAGCGTTCCCGAGCCGTCCCCACTCAGCACTCACCGACACTGCTGGACAAATGTCCAGAGGAAAAATAAAAAGAGGTATAAAGTCTTCCCGCCTCCTATTCTGGGCCCCACACGTCACCACTTGCCTCCATGGGGGGCAACTCCCACTCGCCTCTCCCCAACCCTTTATCCCCCCTTCTCCTCCTCCTCCTCCTCCTTGTCCACCCCAGCCCTGCGTGGGGTGTCCCTCTGGCCAGAGACCTGCATTCCCAAGAGATGATCCCTCCAGGAATCCAGGGCTCAGCACCACCTGAGCTGATCCAGCAGATTGCTTCAATTGCCATCAGAGAAAATGACATTTAAATGAAATATTTATAAACCCAAGTTTAATTCTGAAATCCGATTGGCACACTGTGGCTGGGTCCACCGCGCTCCATCTCTTTGACAGTCATTTTCTATAATGGCTAGAGGAGGTTCCTGACCTTAAAGCAAACTATTTGGAAAGTTTTAGGCACGTGCCTACAAATCTGCAGCGGCCGACTCCTCAGGGACCAGCCAAGGCCACCACTGTCACACAGCAGCACTGCCTCAGCCATGGCTGGTGGGACCAAGGGTGACAGCTGTAGCTTCCAGGGCAGAGCAACTGCTGCTCTCCAAGCATGTATATGTATGCACCTATAGATATATAGATATAGATGTTATAGATATAGATATAGATATAGATATAGATATAGATATATAGATAGATATAGATATAGATATAGATATAGATATAGATATAGATATAGATATAGATATAGATATAGATATAGATATAGATATAGATATAGATATAGATATAGATATAGATATAGATATAGATATAGATATAGATATAGATATAGATATAGATGATATAGATATAGATGATGCAGATATAGATATATAGGTATGCCTGCTTGCCCTGTGCCACCAGCATCACTTATATACATACATATATGTGTATGTATGTGTGATATATAGATATAGATATAGATATAGATATAGATATAGATATAGATATAGATGATATAGATATAGATGATGCAGATATAGATATATAGGTATGCCTGCTTGCCCTGTGCCACCAGCATCACTTATATACATACATATATGTGTATGTATGTGTTTTTGTGTATTCATGTTTCTGTGTGTTCATATATATTTAATATATAGGTATTTTTTATCTATATATATACACATACACATATATATTTGAAGGACCAGGAGGCCAGGGCTGGAAGTATTTTATAAGAATATACAAAAAAGCAGATGAAACAGTTGAGCATTAGCAGGTGTTAATACCACACATCCACATACCTCAGCACTGCCAGCTCTTAGTATTCAAAAATCCTGAGTCAGCTCCCCAAAATCATAGAATTGCTTAAAATACGGACTTTTGTCAAGACTATAAATTGTGACCCAATTTTTTTTTTCTCCCATGTTTTCAGCCTTTAGGACGGAGCACTGCCAGGACCCCTACGTGCACACCCAGGAACCACGTCCCAACACCATTTATCATGGTTGGCTCAGTTTATTTTTTCACACTGTGGACACGATGCTCTTGTGCTTCGCCTCATGTCATTAACACCTGGCAGTCGGTCATTAACACCCCATTACATCTTCTGTAAATTTACTCCTTCTCCATCACTATTCACAGCCTTGTGGGACAAGTCAAAGCCTTTGCCTGCTTTTAGGCAGGTACCTGAGACATGAGGCTGGAAATGTTGGCACTGACCCCCGGGCAGGGTGCTGGCAGGTGGATGGTGGCTGGGCTGTAGTGCAGGGCCATGGTCATTATTTTAAAAAATTAGGGCAATTAAATGACCCAAGACTTCTTCACCACAGGATTAGGTTCCCAGTATGGCTCAGTGCCCTTCTGGAGGCTAAATTTAAACTATAGGTATCAGGCCATTTAAAGTATCATACTTAGAATGGTAGAAACAAGGAAAATACTAAGCTAATACGGCAGTGCAGGGGAAGAGAGAATTGGCATGAGCCAAGAGTTGGCTCGAATTTGGGGGAGTCTGGGTAAGACAAAGACACCTGGCCATAGGGAATGGAGGATCTGGGCTGGCAGAGGGGAGAGCTGTGTGTCTGCCTTCCCCAACCACAAAATCCTGCAGTGCCTCAGGGTTTGCTGCTTAGGGGCTGCAGGCACAGGGCAAGTGAGCACTGAGGGCAGGGAACGGCCTTGTACTGCCTGTATGGTGCCGACAGCTCCGAGAGGAGTGAAACCAGATGAGCATCAAGGGTAGTGATGATGGAGCAACCAGCAGGACACAGTGGGCACAGCTAGAAAGCCCAGTTTATCCCAGCAGGGTTTATTTTCCCGCAGCCATCACAGAGTAAATCCACCACCATGGGACATGTTTGGGGTCTCTCTGCCCTGCCAGAGCTGAGCTCTCCAGGCATCCCCCAGGCTTGCCCGTGCTGCCTCTTAACTGCAAACCTCAATGACAACTACTTTAGGTGGTCTCAAAGAGACTCCAAACCATTTATATTAAAAACGAGAGAGCTAACAACAAAACCATCACATCAAATGTGCCCAGCTCTACCCTCCCTCTCCAGATGCCCTGTTCAGCAAGCACCACTCTCCCAAAAACCAGGAGGTAGGCCTTGCCAGCCAAGCCCGGGGGCACCCTCAGAGCCAAGCTCAGAGGGACACACAGCCCACGGCACTCCCTCCATCAGTGTGCGGCATCCCTGCGAAAGGGACCTGTTCCCTGCTCAGAGCCAAATGCATCCTCTGTGCAAGGGCAAAGCTCACCCACAGACACGTCGTGCTGTGCCGGAGCTGCTGCCCTGCCCCACCGTCAAGTACTGAGCCCAGCAGAGAGTGCAAAGAAAAATAATCACAACTTTATAGGTTTTCCAAGCCACTCTCCCATGCCTGGTGCAGAGATGGTGCTGCTGCAGCTCACACCAAGCAGTCACTGGCGCACGATGGTTCCCTTTACCCATCAGCCTGACCTGGCTGCCTCTCCTGGAGCGGGTGCTGGGATCCCACGCAGACTGCCAGCTGGCAGCTCATCGCGTATGCATCACGCACCCAGAGAAAAAAAGGGAAAAAAAAATTATGCAGAGATTGAGAACTGGGCCTTCAGAAGAGGATCCAGTGTCACGGGATTGCAGCACTAGAGATAACAGAAGATTACTTCGCTGCTTGAACATAAGCTTTTAATTAAACATTTAAATATCAGGATGGGGTCGGGCACTGCAGCAGCAGCCAGACTTCAGGGCTGGCCTCCGGTACAGCCAGCCTGGTTATTTACTGTCGCAGGACTCCACTCTCCAAAGCTCTTGTACCTGTGATCTGCTCATCAAAAGGTCTTCCTGGCACACAGCAACGTGTGTGCTATGTTAAGGTTATCTGGAGAAATGCTGAGCATCCTCAGGGGGACTGAGGGTCTCTCTCGGATATAAGAAGATGTAGCAGATAAGGACCTCATATACATCTCTCAAAAGTGTCTAAATAAATTCTGTTGACTTCAGGCTGCATCTGAAATATTCCCTCCATGTCAAAACAGCACTGATGGTGAAAATAGCTCTGTTCTGTCCCTGCATGATTTGCTTCTCATTCATACAGGGGATAGGTGGATTTTTAGAAATAGCAAAGTCCACTACTTAGCTCTGACGGTGCACAGTTCCTGCAAGAAACAGGAATGACAAATATCATAAAAAAGCTGTGAAACCTCCTTGCCAGAACAATCGGTATCTGCAAATGCATCTGTTTACCTCACTGCATTTGCAGGTTTTATAACCACCAAGATGAAGCACTGCAGTCAGTGCTGTGTGAACCAGGGGCTGGGGAAAGGCTTGTCAAAAGCCTTTGAAGACTGCTAATCAAAACCAGAGCTGCAGAGAGAGCGTTACATTACAGGATGGCATTTTCAGTCATTTGGCCCTGCTATGCAAATACAGCTCTACATGAAAATCTGCAGTTCAGGAAATATGCCTGCAGAGCGCTTTTATTCCTGCACTGGTCCAAGATTAAACACAGTTTTGCTGATGGTATACAAAATAAAGTGGAACTGCCAGCAGAGTTTGTTACAAGTTTAGTCAACAAAGGCATTTACTCCTGCATGCATTTTCACTCCTTAAACATTTCGAGAAAGGATATATAAACAGCGTGGGTTTTCACAAAAGAAAACTTACAGTTCACAGTGTCCAATGCCATATTACCATTGCCACTGAAATGACCCATAAAATAATCACAATACAGGTCAAGGGCAGAAAACCACTTTTATTTTCTCCTTGTGCCTTGCAAATCAAAGGCAGAGGACCTCACTCAGTGCATGCTTGGTGGGTCGCAGACATGACTTGTATCACCCCTGACCTTTTGAGTCCTTCAACCTGAAATCCCCACTGTCTGAGGCAATGAAGACAAATGGCCAATAAAGGTCCCCCAAAGACATTTTTCGACCCGCAAAGGCTACGTGTGGATGCTGACTGATCTGACAGATCAGCGTGACTATCTGATTCCCCTTGCCCTTGGGCATGAGCAGGTAACAAGGACAGGGTCGTCCTTCAGCTCCCTCTTAGGTGGCCAAAACAAGCTGCAGGATGGGAGCTCTCCTTGAAGGCAGCTTTGGCAACACCAACTGTACCAGCCCCCCATGCACCAGCATCGGTCCCTGGGGACCAGCACTGAGGCGATGCGGGTGCTGCGGGGTGTGATGGGCCCGGGCGGCCACGCGATGCCTGCTCATGCCCACACTGCCGTCAGGGGCTCAGGACAAGGCTTAACATTGACACTTCCACAGCAGACCTCCCTCGACCAGCCAGTGTGCCCACACAGCCTGCACTGCGGCCCCTTCCTCTCCTACGTACGCCCACCTTCACCAAACCGCAAAGAGCAGGGAGCCCATCCAGCCCAGCTGCGGTGGGAGCATGCAGGGCAAGAGGAATATCCTTGATGTCCAGGTGCCTACAGCTGCTTTCCCCACTGGAGGCAGCATGCATGGACAAGCTTCACCAGGAAAATAAAATCCAGAGAGCCCCAGGACTTGGCCTGGGTGGTGGGACTAAGACAGCAACATAAATCAAGCATTAGGTGGCTGTGTTCCTTCCCTGGTCATTCCCTTCCAGCAGGGACAAAATTAAGGGCTGGACAGTGAGTGGCAAAGCCGCAGCAGCAAGGAAGGTGCTGGAGCCACACACATCCATACGGGGATGTCTGTACGGGAATGGCTGTCACGCAAACCCACCCTGGGGCATGAGGGGGCCAGTTCTGCCCCCACACACTGTGTGAAGGCAGAAGCAGGGGGGGCGGGTACGAGCAGATGGGGTGGGGAAGAGCTGGCAGAGCAGGTGTTCGGATGGGGTTGCAGGGTGCAGGCTGAGCTCTCCTCCCGCCCACCCACTGCCCCCTGGCACTGCTGCAGCCCCCGCACAGCTCCCTGCCTGGAAGCAAGAGCGCCGAGGAATTTGGGGGGATTAACGGGCCAGTAATCCTCCCTGCGGGAGCCGAGAATTAACATTCCCTCAGCCAGCGTCCACCGCCACTGACCTACTTCTCCCCACTGGGACAGCAGGATGGGGGCACAGCACTGGAGGGCAGTCACCTGGTTTGGGCTTGGAGAAGCATCCTCCCATGGTGCCGACCGGGACAGGCAGCGGGGACGGGGATGGCGGGCAGGTCAGCAAGGGCGCAGGCACATCCTCGCATGATAAATCACCTGCTTGTGCTGTCCTGGGCTCCAGGCGTCGTTCACAACCTGTGCTGGGTAGAAAAGCTCCGTGAGAAGCGGTACGGGCAGGGAATGCGGGTGCTGCAGGGAGGGGAGGGAAAACCAGTGAGCAATGCTGCGGCCTGCGCCAACAGCTGCAGGCAGGGGCCGGGCAGCAGGAGCACAACAGGTGCATGGAGCATGGGGGCAAGTTGCACTGAGCCCACGCACCCCCGGTGTCCCGAGTGACAAGGGGAAAACGTGACACTGGGGTCACCGTGCTGGGAGTTGCTGGTAAATTCAGTTATGAAGTTTATAAATTCCATCATCCTTTCAAAGTTTAAAATTACAAAAATCCTCGTATCATTTATGTTCAGACTTTAATAACTTTCCAAAGCCCTACCTTTGGGAATTAAATCTCTAAGCACGTAGGTCACAGCCCAAATACAATGATTAAACCATAAATACATTTCAGTCAGGTTTTTTTCTTTTATTATTAGGTGATGAAAAAAAGAAAGCTACTTTATTGCCCGGTCTTGCAAGTTCCCCCTTTCCAGTGATGTTCATTCCTGCAGAAATCCCATTCGTTTTGGAACAATTATTTATTTGAGAAATGGTTTTCAATATCAGGCCATTTTGCACCAAAACCCAATTTTGTATACTATTAAGACAAGATTTTTTTATGTTTAAGTGGGACAGGCAAACAGTTCACCAAGTTGTGTTTATCTCCTTAGCTTTGACTGATAGTGCTCTCAGATTTAGTACAGACTAAGAATTAGGATAAACCTTTTCGGTTATATTCCTTGACTGAAAACAGCAAAGACTCATACAACACAACTGGCAATAAAATAGAACATTTAATTAATTTTACTCATTCATACCTGTGCTTGAACTGATTTACTATGGTTTTGCCATACGTTTTTCACAAAGCCTTCTGGTCTGGGCAGGAAGTTAAAACCGTTTCCAAAGGATAGTTTAACACAGGCAAAGTAGGCTTTTCTGCAGCTTAGAAAGTGCCTCAAGGCCTTTCCGATGAGAAGAAAATACAGAAGTGCCAGGAGACAGACACCAAGCACTGCAATTTCTCCCCTTTACTTAAGCACCAACTCAAAATATCCACACATATCCGTCTTACATTCAGCTATATCCCTCCAAAACACACACACTCCTTCCCGCACACCTTCAAACTCCCCTTCTGCTGTGCATGGCATGACCTCCACCAAGTCCCAGGTGCGTTGCAGGTGCACCTTCAAAGCCTGAAGCATGTTGAATAAGTAATCCAGGCTATAGAGGAACAAGAGACCGGTGCCTTGCCGCATGGTGCAAAGCGGATGGGTGCCTTTTGATAACGGGCACTGAGGGGTACCAGTTTGGGACAGACTATTAAAAGGACAAAAAACACACAAGCTTGCCTGCAGACTACAATGAGCAATCAGATGTGTGTGCAGCTGCCGAACAAGCTCATTTGCAAAGGGGGAACATGAAATGGAGCAGGAAAGAGCCAAGAGCTCTTCTCGCAAGAGCATCCAAGGAGAGCAGCACACCAATGTTTATGCAGGAGCAAATGCAAAAAAATGCCATGTGAGTAGGTGCACAAATGCAGAGGAAAATTTGGGAGCGCTAGGGAAAAACGCAGCGGAGAAGTCACGTGCAGTAACTGCTGTATGGCCCTTTGCCAAAACTGGCAGGAAGAAAGGCAAAATGGCTTTGTATCAGAGAGGGTCTCAAGCCGTTGATGTATCGGTGATACAGGCCAATAATTTAGTGTAAAACATATAATAAAATACCGTACAAAGGTTGGCAAAAAAGGAGGCAGGAGGTGAGTGCCAAAGAGGAGCAGGTGACTGGGGATGAGCTTCAAGCCAGAAGGGAAAGTAAAACTGCACCTAAGTGAGTTCATACCAAAATGAGATGCCGCTGTGAACAGAACGTGCCAATGAGACAACGTCAGCCACGCAAAGGAGAGCAAAGAGAAAGCTGAAACAAAGATACTGTCACCTACGCAGAGGCTGGGCTTTCTTCTGGAAGGCAACCAGCCTACTCCGAGGTCCTCAATAGCCGATTCCCACAGCCGACTCACAGGCAAACCAAACCCCCTGCTAACCCGGAGCAGCCATTTGCTGTGGGTTTCCCGCAGCATGAAGTGGACGCTTTGCCAGCAGGACGGGGCTATGCTCCAGGCAGGCAGGGCCCAGGACGCATGGGACCAAGCCCTCGGGATGCCGCGCACATGGGGGAGCACAGCGGGGACCCCAACCACCTGGGGAGGGCGGTGGGGTGGATGGCAGAAGGGTGGCAACCAAATGTGCCTCACCAGAGGATGCCTTGATCTTCTCCAAGCCCCCCAGGGATGCTGATGCACAGTCTGATGGCCTTGGGACTGGTTTCCAACTGATCTGGCTGGTTTTATGAGGGACTTTGGGGGGATGTCAGAGCTCCTGTCCCTGAGTATCAGCCATTTGTCTGAGATGCCTTTGCTTTGTTTGGACCTTAAAGATGGCAATCTGAAGCCATCCCCTCAGGCCCACTTCACATCTCCTAACTTCCCCACTGATGGTCCTCCTGGGCCCTTCGCTGAGCCACCCACAACCTCCTAGAGAAGGTCAGAGCAGAGCACAGTGCACGTTTCTGGGCATCTCTCCTCCACTCCCGGAGTTAACCAGGCAAAAGCAAAATGGTTCTTGGTAGGATTTCAGCTGACACTACCGGAGGAGAAGCCATCTGGCTGCCCACAGCCTCAGTCCTGGCAAGCACATAGAGATCATAGAATCATAGAATCGTCAAGGTTGGAAAAGACCCTTAAGATCATCGAGTCCAACCGTTAACCTGTCACTGCCAAGTCCATCTATACCATGTCCTCGAGCACCGCATCTATCTGTTCTTTAAATACCTCCAGGGATGGAGACTCAACCAGTTCCCTGGGCAGCCTGTTCCAATGCCTGACTGCCCTTTCAGTGAAGTTTTTCCTAATATCCAACCTAAACCTCCCCTGGCGCAGCTTGAGGCCATTTCCTCTCATTTTATCACTCGTTACTAGGGAGAGGAGACCAACCCCCACCTCGCTACAACCTCCTTTCAGGTAGCTGTAGAGAGCAATAAGGTCTCCCCTCAGCCTCCTCTTCTCCAGGCTAAACAATCCCAGCTCCCTCAGCCGCTCCTCATAAGACTTGTGCTCCAGACCCTTCACCAACTTCGTTGCCCTTCTCTGGACACGCTCCAGCACCTCAATGGCCTTCTTCGAGTGAGGGGCCCAAAACTGAACACAGCACTCGAGGTGCGGCCTCACCAGTGCCGAGTACAGGGGCACCATCACCTCCCTGGTCCTGCTGGCCACGCTATTCTTGATACAGGCCAGGATGCCATTGGCCTTCTTGGCCACCTGAGCACACTGCTGGCTCATGTTCAGGTGGCTGTCAACCAACA